CTATCTATCTATCTATCTATCTATCTATCTATCTATCTATCTATCTATCTATCTATCTATCTATCTATCTATCTATCTATCTACCTATCTGACAGTGACAGAGAGAAAGAAGAAAAGTGACAAAGCTCAACACACAATAATAATGATACATATAACAACATATAACTAGATCAGAAAGTCTCCCAAGAGGCCAATAATAGACACTCCTTTCACTGAATACCTCATACAGGTAAGTCATATCATTTCAGCCCCTGATAAAAAAAAAATATTTTAAAAAACTAGCATCCAAAGTGCGTTGTTAGAGATTATCTGAGGACCTGAAGAGCCGTACATTATCATGTTCTTGAAAGATTTCGCGCATTTATGGCCGGGTCGATATCAGCAGGTGAAATAAAAATAAGAAAACAAACAGGAGAGTTTAGAAATTAGGTCAGATAATGTGGAGATTGCTGTATGTGTTAGAAAGAAAACGCATAATTTGGTTTTAGTTTAACTCTATCCGTAGGCCCTGGGGTCATTTTGTACCCCCCAGGGGTTGAATTCTTCACACATTTTAGAATACCTCTAGTGCGAAGATCTCTTTGAAACGTTCAGTATTTCTCAAAAAATCATTTTGACAGACTGCTATCATGCAAAGCGTACGGGTCGGATTAACGAGTGAATTTCCTATTTTTGGAAAGTGGTGGTACAGAGTTCCCCACGTCGTATGGATACGATAGTAAAAACACGACATACGGATAGAGTTAAGGAAGAGTTTAGTTTTAGTAAGAGTTTTACGGTACTTGCAACACAATAAGGTCATAAAAGTCCCGAAGATTAGAGGTGTTACAAGAGAGTAACAGACACAAAAAATGAAGAAGGAGAAATCAATAGAAACCCAAGAATAGGTGTTTGATAGTCCAGGAAAGAAGGAGCAAACCACACCAGAGCACCCGCCAACCACCCACAAGGCAGAGTTTTTACAGCACTTGCAGCACAATTAGGTCATATAAGTGCCGAAGATTAGAGGTGCTACAAGAGAGTAACAAATATGTACTACTAAAAAAGAAGGAGGTGAGGTCGGGACGATAGATGTTTGCTAGGAAGGAAAGAAGGAGCAAACCACACCGGAGCACCCGCCAACCACTCACAATAGACGCTCCGAAACGTGTGTGTAACTTATAAGAACGTACAGATTTTACACCATAAGCGACATGCATGCACACATACACACACATACACACACGCACGCACGTACATACACACACAAACACACACATATAACACACACACACAGACAGACACACACACACACACACACACACACACAA